GGCGGAAAATGTTTGTGCAATCGAACTTTGGTCTCGTCTACAGTGTCATTATGGATGCCGTAATGATCTCACTGGCGCTGCATTTGTGGTATAAAGAGCAACGTTTCAACTTTAAACGGATTTGGGATTGGTCGGTTATAGATCTGCTCACCCAGGCGCTCTACGCAGTAAATATATATGGCATGCTCGCCGTCTTATGGACGAATTTGAGGGAATACAAAAGTCTATTGGAGATTTTCAAGAAATTTTCGGCACTTGAGCAATCGTATTTCGGAAAATATCAATACTTATCGCCTAAATGTGTAAAGTTCCACAACTACATTATCTGGAAGGGTCTCGCATTGTTTATGAATAATTTCTTGTATTTTACGCATGTTTTTACGTTACTGGGCAGATATCAAGTGCTGAGTGTGCGTGTTATATTTGTACAGTTATACAGAATGCTGCTCAGTACGATACTACTGTTATTGGCTCTGCATTTCTATAGGCACGTACTACTCATTTACCGTTATATGCGCACACTGACGGAACATTTGAAATATTTAGCTAATTATGGCATGTCAAATGCACAAGCGTACACTCGATGGCATGAAATCAATGAGATTGTGCGCGTTTATGTGCGCTTACAGCAACTCTCGCGGGAGTTCACCGGAATTTACGGCAAGCAAGTGTTCTTCGGCATCGTTGCCATAACTCTCGACAATGCGCATAACACCATTGTTTTGCTGTTAATTTGGAAGAGCCAAACAAGCGTTTGGTATTTTACATTTATTATATATGTGATTGTCATAAATTGCATTGACTTTTGGCTAATCATCGTCGCTTGTGAATTGGCTGTGAATGCTGCGCGTGACTTGTCGTTGGTACTAAGGTGCTTCAATGACACTACGCAATTGGATGTGGAAGCGGAAAGAGAGGTTTGTTGTTGTTATAATTTTTTTATAGATTGCATAGATAGTGTCCAACTATGTGTACTGCGTCCAGTGCGTTATCACTATTCTGACATTAAAACTAAACTAAAAAGAATCCACAAAATAAAGGTAATGATCGCAAATTGCAGTTGCGTGACTTCGCTCACATCGCATAGGTACAAAAAAAGTGTTAGCCTTGACTATAAGAAAGCTCTGTTCAAAGTTCAAGACGCGTTTACTCACTGTTGCTGATACTGAGCAGAGTTTGGCTACGTTTAAGCCTAGTATAGCGGAATTTTTGTGTCGATTTGTGAAAAATGGTGAAAAAATGGCTCCATTACTTCAATCCGGAATCAAGTCGATCGTCGTCTGAATACGCAGCTTTAGTATTCCTCTTCTAAAGCGAACAATTACAGCAATCAGCTAGAGAGGTTATGGCTACCGTTTTCTTGGGAAGTGCTTGGCATAAGATTCATGAACTATGTTGAGATTGGAAATAATAAACCAGCTGGTTGTTTTGAGACGTGTTGTTTTCAATGAGGCAATGTCTTATTCGGAGTAGGTCCTTTGGGTAGCTGTTACTCGATTTATACTCAGTTTGCTTCGCCATTTTCAAGGAACTCACTTACCACGGAACAATGTTGCAAATCGTGAAAATTTATTACCAAAAGAAAGTACCGCGCGCTGCGTTCAATTATCGGTGGACATTTCGCCCAGTCGGGTTTGTAATTCGTGCAACCATAGATCGGTTTTGCATCACGTTTACTCGAGTCAACAATCAGATAATCATAATCACCCTCAGAGATGCCGTACAACGCGTTTCGAAGACACTTTTGGTGCTATAGAGCAGGGTATCGAAGAAGACCCGAATAAGTTCATCCGCCCAACAAGTGAAGGTGTTGCTTATTCGCTATTTGAAATAATTTGAGGCAGGAGCTTGGTTTGCGAGCCTACAATATCCAACTCGTGCAAAAAATCGTAGCCAAATACCAGCAATCGTATCGTATGAGCCCAAAACGTGATGGCCAGCAATATTGATTTTCACAAGAAAACTTTGTTCAGCGATGATGTTCCCTTTTGGTTTATTGGGTACGTTGTAAACAAAATTACCACATTTCGAGTAATGATAGTCCACAAGCCATTGTTGAGACAAACAAGATTACTCTTTGGTGTGTTTTATGGGCAATCATTGGTCCATATTTCTTCAAAAGTGTAGCAGAACCTAATATTGCACGTAATGGGGAACGCTATGGAGCCTTGATTAATAAATTTCTCGTGCTTGAATCAAAAGATGTTGCTGTGGAAGATTTTTAGTTCTACAACAAGACGGCGCTACATGTCATACAGCACCAATTTATTGGAGGCAACTTTCGAAGAGCTCATAGTCGCGCGCCGTGAATCCGCTGAGAGGCCTCGAAGATCATGCAATTCACTGCAGGACTGTTTTTGGGTTATGTGCAGTCACTCATCTACACATGTAAGTCCGACACCATGGATGGTTTGGTCAAAAATATTCGACGCGTTATTGTCAACAAAAGATCAAAATTGTTGCAAAAAGTGGTCGAAATTCGACGTCTCGGCTGGAATTTACTCGAACCAGCCGTCGCGTTCATTTGGCTGAAATAATTTTTAAACCTTATTTTTATAAAAAGCTTAACTCTTGGCTATGACATTAAGCTAAATGCGTATTATTTTTTATGAAAACCACATATCTAAAAAACGCCCAACGTACCATGTCACAAGTCAGTCAAAGCGATTGCAAAACTACATGAGTTTAATTTCGACATACTCCCACATCGACGGAATCCATCGCATTTGGGTTCGAGCGCAGACTGGCTCTATGTAGTTATATCTAACAAACGTCCGGCGGTAAGGAATTTCGCTCGAAAGAAGAACTTATTGCTGTGGCTGCGGACAATTTTGAGGCAAAATATAGATCGCAAAAAGGCGTGTTGAAACATTACAGTGAAGGTGGAATGAATGTGTGGCTCTTAATGTAGTTTAAAATTTGACTTTTCTATCCCACGTTCTTTACTAATCCTCCCGAATATAAATTAAAATATGAATAACTAAAAATATATAGTTCCTGATACTTCATCTTAACATCCAAATCTTGCTTTCAACCATTGGCTATTTAGTTTTCTTTTGTTCGACTTTCAACTTGTTTAATATTTTAATAAATTCCCTACATATTTCTTTTGTTCTTCTTCATTTTTTAGCTCCAACTACTGGCTTTGAACTGTGCGTCTAACAAGCCAAAATTTCGTGTATGCGGTTTTATGGATTTGAACTTCTCAACCGGCTTGGAGATTTCAATTATCTTCATTTTGATGCTGACTTACATGATGCAGAAATATTATCGAGGGCTTCAGATTTTTAAAAATTGAATAAATAAAAAATAAAATATTCAAAATTCGTTTTATAAAATGGAACGATAAGAAAATCAAAAATTTACGAGTTTGAGCTGACTGTGGCTTATGTACTAATTATTTAATTTTTATGTATATATTATACTCATTTTCGTAAGTTGGTTTGATTAGCCTAGTTAAAGGGTAGCCGTTTTTGGACTTAGAGAATTTTATCACAACTCGACTGAATGCTCAATGTCAATCATGAATCAGCGACGATGCTCATTTTACTCAACTGGATTATTAAACCTTTTAGTGCCGGAGGCCAATTCATCGTCTCTTGCTGCACTGACCGGAATTGCCGCAGTTAATATATCGGCACGTGGCTTGTAGCGCTTTACTATTCGCATTGCGGGGGAGCTCAATTTCATAATTCATTTATAAATGTTATTAATGATATAATTTAATTACGAGAAAATAAAAAGGCAATAAAAAAATTAAGGCTGTATGAGCCTTCGGTTTGGGAAGTCAATATGGCCAAGGATAAACTGGCGCGGTAATTCCAACTCGTCATATCTCATATAAGCTGACTGCCATTAATAAAACCGGTTGAGGTCCCTTCTTTGACTAAACTCTTTCATCTTACGTGACTCATACCAAATTAGAAGAGTCTGCGATCGCACGCGTTGATCACACCGCGAAAGTTTAGGGTAGCTCCTAATAATTCCAAGATCCCAACTTTGACGCATCTTGGGAGTTGAAGCGGCATTCTGGACCTACACTGTCGTAGTTGCCTGGAGGAAGAGATAGAATCATACACCTGTTAGGCTTAAAACCATTACCACTGGCATGGACATCGCTTATGTGACTACAGTTATAGAGTTAACAACAGCGCGCTATTCTAACCATCTTTTCGCTGTTTGCCACCTATTGGAAACACCAAGTACAGTCAGGTTCTTCTTCGGTTGGTATTTCCATTGTTGTCTCGTAGCTCGTACAGTTCATCGTTTCAGCTTAAACCTTTGACACGATAACACCCAATGCTAACTCATCAGATGTTGTCACCGTTTATGCCTCCGCACGATATAGCAAGGCGGGAGTGATGCTCGACTTGTAGAGTTTGGTCGTAGTTCGTTTTCGACGCGGCTATAAATGCTGAATAAATGATGTAATATATCAGCAGCTGTCACTTTTATAGAAGATCCATCTTGTCGTTTGTTTTGGACGGCTCGGAGATGTTTTTTGCGGGGATACCGAATTTAGTAATAGCGGCGTAGAAGTAGCTCATTTTCGTTTTTGTCAGACTGGTTGTCGGTGGTTGTCGGTTAGGTCATCGACGGTTGGTTTAGGCTTCCGAAAATACACTGGATAGGACTTTATGCGCGATATTGAGGAGGGCTCCCCCTCTTAATGAAAAGATAAGCGCACGTCCGACCACATCGTCAGTTTTTCGCGGCCTTATTCGACCATCGGACCCCACCGTTTTGTTGTTTTTCAAGCAGGATATTAACATGCGAACCTTTTCATAATCGGGAATACAACATCTGTTGCATCAGTGGCAACATTATAATAGAACCTGATTGTAGACTTAGTGTGCGTGTTGACTGGTCGTTAATCCATTTATGTCACTCGTCTCGCCTAACCATCGCCAATATTACTAATTAGAAGTTATCACTCTAACAAAATCTACGCCCTACCAAGTGTGAACGCTATCTATTATTTTCATCGCTAGACGTCAAAAATGATGATGGAGTATAGATACGACAAAGTGAATAAAATGTTCAACTGTAGCGAAAATATTTTTATGTCGTTCAAGTATCGGTCAGCAGTTGCTCTGTTGAGTGTGGTTGAGTTTGAAATGTCATCACGCTGGAGTCGCGATGAGCTATCGTGTTGTATAATAAACTCAACAGTTTGGCTCTCCATTGCGCTTGGTATTTTCCCTTATGACTACACAGGCCGACGGATCGTGCAATCGAAGTGCTGTCTCGTGTACACTCTCGTCGTTGATGTCGCCTTAGCCGTTTTCGCACTGCACTTGTGGCATGAACAGCAATATTTGAACTTGTGGCGCATAGCAAACTGGTCGCTTATGGAAGTCTTCACGCAGTTTCTATACGCAGTCAACATTTACGGCATATTGGCGATATTGTGGACCAATAGCTGGGAGTATACATATGTGTGGAAGGTCTTCAAGGAATTTGCAGCACTCGAGCGTTCGTATTTCGGAAAGCATCAATCGTTATCGGCCAAATGTATGACATTCCATAACCTGTTGACTTGTAAGGGGCTCATAGTTTTGATGAACATTTTCTTTTATCTTTTGATCTTCACGGCAATGCTCATAAAGGCTCGCTTTATCAGAACGCGTATATTCGTGGCCGTATTCAGCAAGTTCCTGAATATTGTCATAATTTTGGTGATCATGCACTTTTATACACACGTTATGGTTACATACCGTTATATATGGGTACTGAAGGAACGTCTCAAGCACTTGTCCAATTTTGACACGCCACACGCACAAGCGCAGAATTTATGGCGTGAAATCAATGAGATTGTGCGCATTTACATGCGTTTGCAGCAACTCTCGCGGGAGTTCACCCGAATTTATGGTAAGCAAGTGTTTTTTGGTATCGCTGCTCTAACGGCTGAAAATGCACAAAACGTCCTTGTGTTGTTGTTTATGTTGACACCGCCAGCGGAAACATGGAAAATTATTTTTAGTGCATTCTTCATTGCCAAGAACATCGTTTACTTTTGGCTGATCATTTGTGCTTGCGAGTTGGCTGTGGAAGCTGCGCGGGAGTTGGGGCAGCTGCTAAGGTGTTTTAATGCCATGCCGCAAGTGGATGTTGAAGCGGAACGCGCGGTTAGTTTGTTGGTTGCTCCTTCAATTGTGTTATTTGAGTTTTATATTTGTTTTTTTTTTTTTTTTCAGCTACAACTTCTCTCATTTAACTGCATCATTAATAAACCAAAATTTCGTGTTTGGGGTTTTGTCGAGTTGAGCTCTTCAATGGGCCTGGAAATCATTCTAATACTTGTTTTACAGATTATATATCTATTGCAATCGAATTATACAAAAATGTCGCTCTTTTCCAATTAATTCAGTGCAATAAATGACTTTTACAAGTACAAGTTGAAATAGCAAGCTTTAGCAGCAAATGCCAACTATTTTAATTCTATTGTTCTGAAATAGTTAAAAGAAGCTATAAGATGGCAGCGCTGGTGCTCTACGGACTCCTTCTCGGCTATGGCTCTGCAGCTGCGGCTGAAGTAGCCCAACCTTCTTTTAAAAGTTCTCATCGCACAATGCCATTATGCCAGCTGTTATGCAAACGAAAATCATTTTAGGAGAAGTAGAGATTTGGTTCTCTCTTCATCGATTAATGTGCAAATCTGTCTTCACTGGATGACCATCTGCTATTAGTCCAACTTGTGATTGCCGACCTTAGAAGATATTTTGCAGCGGTAACCTGTTTAGGATTCCACTACTTCTTGCAAGCTCGTCGGCCCGACAATTTCATGCGATCGTTCAATGTCGCTTACTGTGGAGATTTTGTTTGAGATTTTTTATTGTCTTCTTTGAGGTGATATCGTTGCAATGAGAAGACGTAATGGCAATTTGACTTGTAGTAGGTAGAGTTCCCATACTAGAGACGAGCAGCTTTCATTATCGCCGTAAGTTCAGCTTGAAAGAAGCCTCGGTGGTTGAGAAAGCTCTTGCTCATGACGACTGTAAGTGAAGATGGCTACGGATATTGGATCCAGAAGTAAAACCAATTATTATTTCTTCCCTTTTGGCACTTTAGGTGTGAGAGTGTTGTTCATTGGAATGGTGTAGAATTCTATATCCGCTTGAGTTGCTTTTAATATCTATATAATTTTCCAAGCAGATTTGAACAAAGAATAAATTGCTTTCGTGTTAGTTGAAGGCAGCGCTCTTGTAATGAGTATGTAGACCGTCCGCCTTTAAATAGTAAAATAATATGGGCCTTACTATCGCTCCGCACAGCCAGTAAACTCTATGCGGTCATAGTTTTAATATCTTGTAAGTGTAGAACGCGGTCATAGCTCCCTTAACTCTTTCGAACGAGTCCCGATTCCATTTGAGTCACTACCTAAGGTAGAAGGCGTGATTTCAATGCCTTTGAGTAAAGGCGGCTTAAAAGTGGGTGAGTTATACCTTCCGTTTAAGAGTATCAATTTTATCTTTGCGGAATTTAAATTGGAACTTGATGCTGTTTTCTAGTCCATGTGAGGGCGATGTTCTCTCCGTTAGCTATCAGCTTAAAACTCATGCTTTTCAATTTGCGAAGCAACTTCATCCAATGGGAGGTACTTTTTGGCATACCTCGTTGCGGATGCGCCTCCTAATTTAGCAAAGACTACACTGATTTCTAAGAAAGATTTCACAAAACTCCACTTACTGCACTCTAAGTCGCGTATCTGTGAGTGTATTCGTGACTCTCTTGGATGAGATGTCAGCGAAAGCTCCTTCGAAAGCAATGAAAGCTCTTAGTGTGTACTATTTAAGGGTGAGATATTTTGAAAGAGGAAACATGCCAGGCTGGATGGCTGAAATATCTTAGGACTAATAGGAAAGATGTCATCTATTCCCAATGTCCAATCCACCTCATTGCGGTTCATGATATTTTTCAAATCAGATTCAATATTTGTTGTAGGTTTTGGTGAGTTGCTTAGAGAAGCGTGATATCTCGTAAAGCATTCAGGGAAGGCTAGATTATTAGTACATCTAGAATTGCTCTGAGAGATGTTATCCATTTGCCACTTGACTACTGGCTGTAGCTCAGAACAGCGGAGTTCTTGGGCAGAACTTTCAACGGACTGCATCCTTCCGAGGATTTCCATGATTCTCTTTCCGGTAGCCTTCTTGAAAGTACTTGATCAAATGGATTCAGTATTATTTTGGTAGTAAAGATAATACATGGCTCAATCGATAAGCGGTAGAGACAGTGTGGAAGGGCCGTCGAGAAACAAGTTTTTTACTCTTTCGATGTAAGTTGTAGTGTGGCGATGTGTGTGTAGTGCAAACCACTTCGTTCCCTGACGAGAGATAAAAAGAAGAGAATTGGCGTCTATGCCTAGTCGAACAATAAGCTCTTCCTCTAATTTGTGGTTCTGCGTCTTGATGTTTTTCCAACAAATGGAGAGACCTACAGTTCATACTAAGCCGCCTCCAAAGCACTGATGGGTTTTTATAAGGAGTTCAATACCTCTCTTAATATAAATTTATGGCATGATATACGCGATTTCCCGAGCACTTTTTCCAGGTTGTGTTGCACCTCTTGCTATTTTTCAACAAGAAGAGAACACCACAGCTTTAGGGGCCGTATTACTCAATATATAGGCATAAGAGCTGCGAAAACGGTAGTTTTGCACTCCAATCACATCTTTTTCGGACTACTTTTAGCTATTCCTTGAAGAAAAGAAAAGTCAGCTTACCCCGCGTTTTCCAGACAAGTAAGCTCTCTGAAGCATGAATTCCTTGCTTGAATGCTAGGCAAATGAATTACAACTTATGCAAGCAACTCAGACTATCAGATCCATTTCACCGATATGGCCGATTGCAATTTGTAATGCAGTCAATGTTAGCAACTTGTCAAAGCTGTCAATGATTGATAAAATCTTTGTAAACGTGGGACAACAATTGCAAAACTCGCACAATGTGTGTCACAAGCAGCTGCGCGGCTACAGTTTGTGATGTGGCTTGCAGTCATGTGGGCACAATGTCGGCGAGCGATCTCCGACTTTACTCTAAACTCTGCCATATACTGCTCCATTGCGCTGGGCATACTGCCTTATGGTTACAATAGACCACGTCGGGGCATGGTGCCTTCCAAAGCAGCGCTCGTGTATAGTGTTTGTATTGATTTGCTTATTATTTGTATGGCGCTCTACGCCTGGCCCTCTGCAAGGCTGATACACTTTGAGCGGATCAGGCATTGGTCACTACTCGAACTTCTCAGTCAGTTTGTGATTTTGGTAAATGTCAGCGCGCTCTTAAACATTATGTGGACCAATTGGAGTGAGTACAAGTGCATTTTGGGTTTATTAAACGAATATTCGTCGATCGAGCGTTCGTATTTCATAAGACACACGAGCTTAATGTACGAGTGTGCTGCCTATGAGCATTACATCATACTCAAAGGACTCGCAATGTTGCTGAAGAATCTCTCTTTCGTTTACGTGGCACTTGTGTTGTTTAAGGATGTGACTTGGCCCATTGTCGCGGTGCATATTATGACTATGTTGTTGGTGAATATTATCTCGTTGGTTGTGATGCATTTCTACATATTCATTTTAGTCACTTACCGTTATATTTGGATAATGAGAGAACGTCTCAAGTGCATAGCCAACGATTTAGGTCTACCACACAGTTCAAATCTTCAGTCCATTCGGTATGAACTCAGTGAAATTACCGTTATTTATATGCGTTTACTGCGCTTTTGCGAACAGTTCGTTCGAATTTACGGTAAACAAATGCTGCTCTGCATCTCCGGCGTCGCGGGCGTTAATGTACTAACATTGATCCTGCTGCTCTTCGTTTGGCGTGAGGTTGTGCATAAGCTGAACGTCGCCTACTCTTGGTATGTGCTGGTGGTGAACACCTTGGATTTCTGGTTGATCATATCTGCCTGTGAATTGGCACTGGGCACGGCGTTCGACTTTGTCGCACTGCAGCGAAGTTTTAGTAATTATGCGCCTTTGAGTGCGGCGTTGGAGAGAGAGGTCTTTATATTTTACTCATATTTCACTCGGTACAAATGAATTTCACAATTTTCTGCTTTCATTTTCCAGCTGGAAATGCTCGCTTTGGTCTGCGCAACCAGTACACCACAATTTCGTTTGTGCGGTCTGCTAGACTTGGACTACTCTACCGGTTTGAAGGTTCTAATGACCACAATATTGTATGTTATCTATTTAGTGCAAATGAATTATAAGAATTTGTGAAATAAACAGTTTTGTTGTCTAAGAAAGTTTGAGTTAAAGATATCAACATTGAGTACAACATGTACAGTACTTCCAAACCCTAGAGCACAAGTAACTATCAAATAAGGTTTGAAGTTATGAATCATCTCTCAGGTGTCTATCGTTAGTGAATATAAGAAAGTCGTTTGTATAAGCCCACAAAGGGCATAGAGCCCTCTTTCACTTCCTCATCTGCAGTGTCACCATCCAATCAGCACACTACAAAGTGGAAGTCTGCAGAAGGGTAAGCAACTGTCAACAATTACAAATCCATTTTCAGAGGGAGTGCATTATAAGTAAGAGGTCTTCCTCCATCTTCCCCTTCTTCACCTTCCCAACAGCGAGAACTGTGTCGAAATCTTTAAAGCATTGAATGTTTTCATTAATCTATAAAGAATATCGAAGCCGTTTTCGTGAAGGCCTTTGGGCGAACCCAATGTCAGGGTCTTGGAGTTCGCTCTATAATACCAGCGACATAAGATGTACATGTATACGTAATAGGTATTTAACATGTAAAACATGAATCGCAAATAAATTAATGCACACACCAACCGCCCTCAGACCAAGCAGACAGGAGTCGTGAGTCGATTGCTGTACCGATTTGTGAGGCTCCAACAGCTATTTTAGGTATAAGGATCGGTGAGATACCAATCGCTCTTCTACTTTTACAATAGACAAGGTATTTAGAGGCGGTGAGGTTCTACGCCCCTCTGGATGTGAGGTGCTACTTCCTTTCCTTACCACATATCATATACATATTTTGCAGCGGATATAATTTAATCGCCCTCTTGCAAGCTTTGAATAATATAAACGAACTATATTCGGCGGCCGCGGTGGCCGAGTCGTTAGCATTGCTGTTGGGAAATTTGATTCCTTGGCGGCTGTACGCAGGAACAGCTAAATCTCAGGTGAAAGTCAGAAGAGTGTATCTTTGGTATCTGACTAAGAATGATCGCAATTCAGCGATAAGTTGCTTAATTTCACTTTGAGGCGGGGTGAATGCGCTTATCTCTGCCACTATGTACGCGGTATCACAAAGGATCTTTTTGTTTCTGCCTTTGTGCCGTACGCCGTAATTTTTGGACGGTGGTGAGGTGCGCATTTGTTGTTTACTAGAACCTCAGACAGCTGGTCAGCGGTATCTTCGCAAATAAGTCATTGCAGTTCCCTCTCATATAGCCATAACTATAAGGTTGGGTACTGCAACTGGCAAAAATATCATTCCCATTTCAAGGACAACAAGGACTCAAGATTGGAAGTGGGTATAACATTGTAACGAGACTACATCCCACTACAAGCCCAACATATTTACTCGCTATAGATCTTTACTCTGCGGAGCTCAGGTTCTCTATTAAATTTAATCGTATAAGTTTGACTAGCAGGCTGCAGCCGAATTTAGTTCTTTCCCACATGATGTATATATGATATACGAATATATTTAGATTTTGTGGATATTTTCAATGTTGTTATTCCGCTCACAGCTACTTTGTTTGTTTATGAAACTTTTTCAGCAAATATGCTATTGTTTAATGTCAATAAACCGCAGATAAATAAATAAAAATAAGCACATACAGATGCATGTTTAGCACCCAGAACTTTTTCAATTCGCCACATATTTGTTTTAATAAAATAAATATTTCACACGCGTTAACCGTAAAATATAGACATAATAACCATCAGCGCCTGCAGCGATGACAAAAGAGGAGAATAAAAATTTTTCTTTTTCGAGCGAAAAGTTTTGTGGTTCTAGTCACATATAAATACATATATATATATGTATATGTGTATATGTATATCTGGATATACGAGTATATAGTTACAGTCTCCGTATTGGAGAAAATTCAATTTAAGTTCACCAAAAGTTTATAATTCATTTAAAGTAAAACCACTCAACAATAAAGTTTTAAATACCACAATTTTCAAATTAAAAACTCTGTTTCTGAGTTGAAATATGAAGGCCGACTTCAATGGTTTCCTCCCAAAGACAACTGAGATGCATAAAGCAGCTGGAACCGATAGTCCACCGGCTGTGCTATTCAAATATAAATAATACTTGGTCGAATGAGAGCTTGCTCGATGATTGCAACTTAAGTGTGCTCTATGGAATGTACACTAAACGTGGGAAGAGTTGCCATTGGTCCATCAAAAAAAGGATATCTCCCAGCTATTCGATATTAAAGTAGATTTCAGACAACCTCACTCTCTCTAACTCTCCCTAAAATAATGCTTCATAAAATCATCACATTGCAGTTCTAGTTAATTTCGTCTACCTTGGAACCAGCATTGACACCAACAACAATTTCTGGCTTAAAATCTAAAGCAGAATAACTCCAGCCAATAGATGCCACTTTGGATAAGCAAAAGAACATGAAACCGCCTCTCGACGAACAAGGAAGAGGTCACTCATAATTTTCATTCCGCTGTTGATGCAGTGTCTAGGACGATGACTAAATCCGATAAGCCAGCATTAAAGTTTTCGAGGGAAGGAATATGGTTCTTTGCGTGCTGGCAATGACGAATACGGCGACGTTGCCAGCAGGAGATCGAGAGGAACAACTAGCTATTCAAAAATGTTCTGAATTTATACCTACTCGCACTACGAGGTTAGACTTAGGGGTCAGATCGCTTTAAGGGTATGCATCTATTTGTGGGTCCTTTGTACATTCATCATGCAAGCGAAACTTATTTGCTGAGTATTTAAATGGCATGCCACTCTCCACCAGTAAGCTCAAGAGGGGAGAGTTATTTAACAAATATGCTAACTTGAGATGGAGAAGTCTTAATGCATGTAATATGACTAGCGCAATGAACATATTTACACACGCTAGAAAGCTGGGCTTTCCCTTTAGGGACTCTTGCAGAAGTTCTAGACAAAATGTGAAACCTGGAACCTTAGGATATCTCCTATGCGAATGCCCCGTTCTTTAGAGGAGTAGGTCGAAGTCTCTAGGGGTGGCGGGGAGAAAGATACGACACGGTCGGTGACCACTTCCACCAACCGACGCCGGGGTCTGCAATCAAGGTATCCTCAGGGTACGAGTCGGAAAATGCATACCCAAAATAATATGGTTGTCAGCAGTATTAATTTTTAGGGCGATCTGTCTCCAGTTCGAAAAACTCTCAATTAGATCGATCATGTTGTGATAGACGAACAAAATATGCGTACGTCCCGGGATCTGACATCGACTGGGATCACTATATTTGTGACGTATAGAAGGCATGTCAACAAACACGGGTAAGGGTCGCCATTAAAAAGCTGCACTTCCAAGCCGAACGATTTCTATTCGGCTTGCACTGACTCAACATCAAGTCGGTTAAGAAGCCGTGAGACGATATTTCAACCTTCACAAAATATTTGGTTGGTGGCAAGGTTGAAAAAAGAGTTGATGCGATGAGGATTGCCTTGTCGCAATGGCAAAAAACGACTACTCAACAAGACTGGGATCGACTGCCATTGAAATAAATCATCTTCGTATACTACCGACACTTAGCCTTGACTTCTCGCATTCAACTAAGAGAGGAGCAAAATTAAAAGCTTAACTAGAAAGCAGTAATAACCATAATTTAATGATTTATGTGTCAGGGCGCCGAAAGGAAGGGAAGAGGGAAAATAATTCCATAATACATGTGTATATATGTATGTAGAGGGAAAGTTTAAATTATTTACTATTTTCATACAAAAGCTGTATCCACAGGGAGCAGCGCTAATCACTTCAGCTGCGCCGGAGGTTTGTGTATAGAAGAAAGCGAAAAAGGAGGGAAGTGTAAAAGAAATATAAACACAATTTTATTTACACTAATCACATATACACTTGCAGTACATACTAAATTATGTACTATATAATAAGCAAATAATCGGCAAATATGCATGCGAAGTATTTTACGAAAGCAAAAAATAAAAGAACAAAAAAAAACACTGGAGGAGTAGACGCCCTGGCTGAGAAATAGAAAGCAAATCCAACGTCTGGTAATCTTGAGCTGAATGCATGTCGTAATCGACCGTGATAATAGTGAGCAGATAAAAATATGGAAGGAAACAGAAGATGAATGTGAATTCATAAACTGACTATTTTACGCTTCGTTAAGTCATTAAGTGCTATGATTAAATGCAAGAGAGAGAGAGAGTGTGAGAGAGTGAAAGAGAGAGAGTGAGAGAGAGAGAGTAAGTACAGGGCGCGATATTAAAATTTCGCACAGTTCGCCAACCAAGTCTAAGATGCAACACTGCAAGTTATAATGGGCTTTAGTAGAGAAACAATAATAAATATGGCAATAGCAACTAAGAGTACCGTTATCATGCACTGAACAAATATATTTAACCAACCGAGCGCACAGCAAGAGGCAAAATACAATTGAAAACGACAGCGCAGCAGTGATGGTGAGTGGCATCCAATTGGGTTGGTGATGAAATTAAAGCATAAGCGCGCGGCATACAGTGCAGTCAGGCATTCCCAAATCATGTCCTTGTAAATCAAAAGCCTTCCGCTAGCGTGCACAACACGTAGCTGAATGAAATTGTAACTAGTTTTACTATGCCAACCATGGAAAGTAATCAGCAACATAAGTAACATAAACCGAATGCCGCACGGTGGGCACGATTGAAGAGAAATTTTTTTCTAAATAAATTTGAAAGAAATCAAATAATTGTTATTTACCACTCGTTTATCGCGCGTACCGTTGTAATTATAAATTACATAATACATGATGACCTCTTCTTGCCATATTTTTGTTGTAATGAGTAATAAAATTCAGGCTCTATGCTTTTGGATGAAACGGAACAAAACTCATTGAAAAGCGGTAGATTCCATAGAGTGCTGAGGGCAGCACTAGAACCATATCTATCATATATATCTTGTGCTGCAACGACTGACTAGAAACTTATAAGCCACACAAATCAGACGGTACTTCTATAAAGTCAGCACTGTCTACAAAACTGATGACAAGGTGGATATACCGGAAAGAAACAAATGAAAGTCTCGATT